AGATGGTTCCTGCTTGAGCCTCCAAGCCAATCCTCTCCTTCTGGAGAGTTCTAGAACTCGGTTAATACGGCAGCTGGTCCCAAGCATGACTTGCACATGCATACTTGTAACCGAGCCCTTATTATCTGGAGCCAGCATCTCTGCCCAGATAACTTGCCTAGTGTTCTAGCTCCTCCGAGACCAGGGCTGTGCCCTGCCTTATTCAGCCCTGAGATGCAGGGACCTCTGTCAGGCCCGAGGAGGCACAGAATGCCGCTTGCCAAGCTCCTCCTGCTGGCTGCCATACCCACAACCCCTTGCTGTTGGATTCCACTGCCCCACCGTCTGCTCAGGCCTTGTCCTCTGAGCACCAGACAACCCCCCAGCCACTGCCCCTGCGTAGGAGGAACATGTCTGGTTTCCGGATCCTGGCCCCTGTGGGTCTGGTCTGATGGGCCCCACCGCCCATCCGACTTCCAGTGCTTGCTTCTACATTAGAATCACTCGGGGAGCTTTTTAGAGATGCAGATGCTTGGGTTTCTTCTAGATTACTTAAAGCATACTTTCTAGAGGTAGGTCCAAGATGTAGGTATTTAAAAGAAGTCTCCAGATAAGTCTCATATGTACTGAGGGACACTACTTTATGTCTCTTTCTCTCAAAATTCCATGTGCATACACATCGCCTAGGAATGTTGTCAGAATGTACTTGCTGGTTCAGTCAGTACGGGGAGGACCTGAGATTTTGCACCTGTGGACAAGATCCCAAGTGGTGACTTTGATGTTAGTAAGGCTCAAGACCAGTGGCTCTCGGGGTGTGGTCGAGAACCTCCTGGGGACTGGTTAGAGATGCACAATTTCAGGATGCTCCCCAGACCTCCTAAATCAGAAACTGGGGGTGGGACCCAGAAATCCATGTTTTGACAGTTTGAGACCCACTGGCCTCGATGGCGCTCCCCAGTAGAAACTGATGCAAACCTCATACGTTATTTAAAATTTTCTAGCTGTCAGTTTTAAAAAATAAAAAGAAACATAATAATTTTAGCAAAATAACTTATTTAATCCAACCTGTTGGCAATAGTATCCTTTCAGCAGACATGAATGTAAAAGAATTTGTGGAGTTGTGTCCATTCTTCCTCCACGCCATGTCTTCAAAGCCCAGTGAGCCTTTTACACGTGTGTGCAGTCTCAGATCTGCCCGGCCATGTTTCAGTGCTCAGTTGCCACGGGAACCTACCGTACTGGGCAGCCAAGTCCTAGACTTACAGCAGCGGTAACAGCATGAGCTTTTACTGAATGCTCGCTGTGTACCTGGCGTTACTTCATCAACCATCTTACGTGCATTATTTATGTAAGCCCTACCACTGACGCCCACTCTAATATAAGCATTTCCCAATTAGTTTAAGTCAATTTATTTGTTTAAAAAAGAGAAAGTTTTGAAGAATGTAAATAAAATAATTAACACTGCTACACTTAGTACAACTGTTAAGACATCGATAGCTTGTAAATGGCACAGCAGTAAGACTATCCTTTCACGGATCTTTCTGTAGTTCATTACTAAAAGCCATCGTAGTTGGGTAAGTAAAAAAGTCGAAATTTACTGTCCTCCCACCTTTCGAAATATGCCTAAAGTCCAACATGCCCTTTTCTGTGACATCAACTCTATTGAAAGGTGCTTATTGACAGGCTGGCTGACCAATGGGGAAAAGAGACCTTGGGTGAGTCACAGGGCAGAATAAGATTTATCCTAAATAGAAGCAGCTGGCGGGGTCTTAATCTATTCATTCAAATGCAGATTTGATACCAAATTACTCTAATAATAAAATCATGCACCACATAGTGACAAGTAGATCAACAATGGACCACACATACGAGGGTGGTCCCGTAAGATTACAATGCCGCCGAAAAGTCCCTGTTGCCCAGTGATGTCACAGCCTTCGTAATGTCATAGCAACGCACAGTGTGCTCGCGGTGATGCTGGTGTGAACAGAACCGCTGCACTGCTGGTCGTGGGAAAGTGTAGCACATACAGTTATATACGGTACATAATACAGGATGATGAGAAATGACTCTCTCATTGGTTTCTGTATTTACTATACTATGCTCAATGTTATTTTAGGGTGTACTCATTCTACTTACACAAAACAGTTTGCTGTTGTTAAAAAACAAAACGGGCCCTGGCTGGCGTAGCTCAGTGGATTGAGCGCGGGCTGCAAACCAAAGTGTTGCAGGTTCAATTCCCAGTCAGGGTACATGCCTGGGTTGCAGGCCATGACCCTCAGCAACCGCACATGGATGTTTCTCTCTCTCTCTTTCTCTCTCCCTTCCCTCTCTAAAAATAAATAAATAAAATCTTTTTAAAAAGCAGAACTAAGTAAATGGGCAGTCTAAGTGGCATTATTAAGAGATTTAGGAATCGGCAGCATCGCATCCAGCGACTAGAAGGGGACTCGGGGCGGGGCTGGGTGTCCAGAACGGAAGGTTTTTCTGGGAAGGCGGGGAAGGCAAGGGAGCTCTTGAAAAATGAACATTTGGGGGGCGGGACACCTTTCCTCGGGGAAGGAGAGCAGGGAGGAGTCGTCCCACGCAGAGCATCTCCTCTCTCCAGGGATGGAGGAGGCCTGTGTGACGGACTACCTGACTGGCGCTTGCCCAGAAAATTCCAGACTGCCTGAGTAACATTCCTCCTCCGGGACGGGCTGACACTGCAGTTAGGTCAGGCACTGCATCCGGGGTCGGCATCGTGGGCTTCTGGCGGGAGTGGTGCCGCCGGGGGCCCGCGGGTGTTCGCAGTGTGCTCTGGGGCGCACATGGTGGCCCCGTGCGTACCCTACGTGTACCGCATCTCTCGATAGCACCGCTTTTCTCTCGTGCTTGATTTAATCTCAGTTGTTTCGTACGACAACTTGCGGCGCGGGTTCGCAGCCTCGGAGCACACGGCCCAGGGAGGGGGAGTAGCAGGCTGTTCTGTCCAGGTTGGTGCAGGTTGGTGCAAGCGCACCCTGCGACGGTCACACAACCGAGCCACCCAAGGACGCGTTCCTCGGGAGATACGCCCATAGGGTTGCAGTTCAGTGGGAGCCAATGCACCGATGCAGAAAACGGGCCGTTCGGAATTTAAAAACAACGACTGATTTAGGAGTCACGTAGTTCCTCTTTATGAGTTCCTCTTAATCTCCATGTTTCCTCAAGGAAGGCCCGTTTTTCAATGTGTATCCTTTTTTATTATAAACGACTTTAGGGAGGAAAAAATAAAAACAATTTAAAATTTTCTATCTGAGGCTAGGCTTCCATTTTTTTTATCAGAATTACCATTTATAACTTTGACCAAGTAATGTAAATATCCTATTTATCCTATTTTAAACTGACCGGTGTTTAAAACATATTGAAATGTGATCATTTAAGACAGATGAGCAGGAAAATGCATTATTCTACAGAGAATTATTAAACCCTGTTGTATATATATTTTAAATAGAGTTCACCTTATTTTAAAATTAAGTGTTTTATATTTAAATGTCTGCATAGTTTTAATATAAGTGTATCATGCTGAAGGATTTCACTATTTCACCATAGTCCTTAAAATAACAGTCATATCTTTTTTTAACATGTCATACATAATCTTCAGTATTTTCTATGCTCAGTTTCAATGTTTTACTTTAATTGCAAGGAAAGATTGGATTTGATCTGAGCATCTAGTTACCAACCGCCATCACACTAATTATAAACTACATGTGGTGGTTTTCGTCCTGGACTAAGTGCATGGAATCTCCCACCTCTCAGCAGAACTCGCTGACGGCTCAGCATTTTCTTTGTGGGGAGTCGCAAGGACTCAGGGTCTCTTCTGCAGAGAATAAAGGCTTTCATAAAAATGCCTGAGTGTTTCCTTTGCCAGAGGTAACTAACGTTCCCTCCTTGGGATGTAAAGGGCAGAAGGAAGCCGTGGAAACCAGCAGCTGGTCTCAGATGCATGGCATCCTCCTTCTGTCGTAGCATAAAGAAATTTTGCCTCCGATTGCTCTGGTTTGAACGGCCTCATTGTGTGCAAAAAAGAAGCTGTAGACGTCTGTAACAGATTCTGTCTTAAGTCTTGAATCTTGCTGCACTTGTGTGCTGCAACCATTGCAAGCGAGGACGCTGTTTGTTTCACCCACTCTGTTCTCCCAGTGCCAGGCATGGGGCGGGTTTAAAAGTACTTGCCACAAATATTTGCAGGGGGAACGAACACGTGATTGATGGAATGAAGGAATACGATTTCTAGATCTCAATTTATAATTCCAGAAACAAAATGACAGGCCACAGCCTGCTGGCCATTGTGAATTGCTTCTTCACTGGCCTTTGGAGGCAGAAGCAGGGGAACTGGCGTCTGTCTGCATCATGTCACCGAAGGGTCCCCCGTCCCTGCCAACAGATAAGACATGTCAACAGCTTAACCGAGAAGCTTTCAAAAATAGCATGCTTGATGAAACTGGAAATTTGGGTGCATGCTAGAAATAAACCATTTGTCTTCAGCCTTAAGAAGGACAGGCTGACAACAGATATTCCTACCAGAGAGACTGAACATTTTTTAAAACCTGTATATAAACGAGCAAGAAAGTATCAGATTTAAAGCCTTCCCTCTCAAGAAGGCATCAATGGGACATCTTATTTTCCATGAATCAGGTAAAATCATTTTGAAAACTTGAGGATTATGGCAGGGCATGCTGTTTCTTTAAGATTTCAGTCAAGTGGGGTTTTTTTGTTTGTTTGTTTTCAAGCGTTCTGGGCAGTTTTCCTCAAACTTTAAATGAATATTTGCACAGCAAACCCGGTGGCTGTGGGTTTCCTGGTTTGTGCCCTCCCCCTCCCGGGCAGGGGTGGGGGGTGTGGCGAGTCAGGCTCGCTGTTTTCACCCCTTCCGAGTCCACTCCGGCTGCTGTTAATGCTGAAAATAGCTCCAATGCTCTCAGAACGGTAGCACCACCCAGCAGCTGAGATTCCTTTCCTCTCTTATTTGCCTTCTCTCTTGCCTTTTTCCCTCCCTTCAGACACTTGGATTGGACTTAATCTGAAATCTCTGGAGTTCAAGACCTTTTGAAAAGGGCTAAATAAACAATCTCTACATGTAAAGGCCACTGACTCCGACTTCCCTTGTTCAGAGCCACTGTTGAGCCCGGCTAGCTGCCTGGAGGTAAGAGTTTACATTCTGGAACTATTTCATTGGCTTAGGATACGTTTGTGACTAATGGTTTTTAGATGGATTATTTATAGTGAAAATAAGGGGGGGCTGCGAACGACCTCCAGGTGAACACGGTGTTCCCCGATGCAGCAGGAGCCTCGGTGCGTCTGGGGGGCTGGAATTTCAAACTGTGCTGAGTCGCACGGACCTGCAGCAGCGACCCTCCTGTCCCGGCCGCCGCCCCAGACCTCCAGTCGCCCCTGATCTCGGGGCAGCGCGCCTGCCTCTGAGGCGTCGCACGGTTGTTGTCAGACTGCTTACTCACGTCTAACTTTCTAAGGGCTTTTTTTTTTTTAAAGAAAAAGATGCAACCACCTGAGTCAAGGAAACCTGTTAGTGGTGGTTCCCCAAAGACAGTGAGCAAGCTCTGTTTTCTTTGGCCCTTGGGCCAATCACTGTTCGTTCGTTCCTCAGGTGGCATTACGGCAGCGTGTGTGTCCTGCTTGTTGTGTGTCCCTGGCACGGCCCGACGACTCGGAGGGGAGCCGTCCTCGCCTCACTGCAAGGCTCTCACTGGCAGGTTTCTCTGATAGGACACTAGGACATGCTGGGCAGTTCGTTTCCCGTGCCTCCCGTCCACCCCTCCTTGTGCTTGTGCTTACCACTTCGCAAAGTACTTTGATCTGTGGACTTGAACTTCAAACACAACATTTACTTTGATTGTGGGTATTTACTGTGGTCGGGAAAAGTCTTTTTTTTTTTTGCATGCTTTTAAATCTTTTTCTTTAAATACTCCACTGAGCTTTGGTTTTCGCTTGCTGGTATGTCTCAGGTGTTGCTTGTACAGAGACCTCAACTGCAAGGAGGAGACTGTTTTATGGCAAGATTCTGTCGCCGTGGAGACTTTGGGCAGATTCTGCTTCCCTGCAGGCAGCAAGGACAGTGCAGAGTCTGATCCTATCAGTCCCTCGCTTGATTGCTGCCTCAGAATCACCATGTGCCTTAGGGCCCAACTGTTGCTTTTTTTTTACACGGCTCAGAAATCCTTGGTATTTACTGATACTCGGTTCCAAAAACAGTTTATTGATATCATAGTTCACAGGTCAAAAGAAAGCGTGGATTTTAAACACACAGTGATTTTCTAAGTGACTTATAAAAAAAGGAAATTAAAAAAAGGAAAAGTAGGAAAATTAAAAAAAAAAACACCTCTGTAGCCAAAAGTCTGTTATGTGAGTGAAACTTCTGCTGAATGAGGGATAAGGAATGAAAAACATGCATTTCCTAAAATAGGCATTGGAGTGCTTTCTAGCCATTCAGTCAGCTTTTAAATGCTGTCTTTAAGGAAGATTTCTGTGTATTATTACACTTGTTTGCTGCCCTTTTCTGCCTCACCCCAAGCAGAGAGAGAGGCTATTTTCAGTCCTCAACCAGCTACTCAGTCCGACTCTCCTGGGAAACTGTCCCGTCTGTCCTGGTGGAGGCTGGGACCCGAGGGAGGCTGGTCCTGTTGGGAGCCTGTGTAAGTCCCGTTGTCGAGGGCTGTGGCTTCTTCGAGCTCCCTGGTTTCCGCACCTTGCTGACAAGGAAGGGAGCAGGTGGCCACCAGAGGGGACTTCAGAGGGGAGGAGCTAGGGAGCAGCTCTGGGGGAGGTTCTGGGGGCAATAGCACCTCCAGAATTTGGACTAATAGTTGGAAGATGATCAGTCCAATTTTTATTTCCAAAATCTGGACATTTAATGGCCACAACCCCCACAAATCCACATTTTAAGCAGTCAAAACTTTAAGCCCTCCAGTTATTTCAAGCAGGTACTTCCCTGCCTTTGGGGGTTCAGATTAGTCTCCCCCTTAGTATCAGAAAGCCCTGGTGTGCCATCACTGAGTGCAAACGGACTGTTCCAGGCACACAAGTTCAGGTGCACCAGGATTTGGAAGGGGTTTGGAAGGGGTTAGACAGCCAGTCCATTCTCGCGCAAGCCCTCATTTCCTATGTTGCTGTTGTTGTTTTGATTCTTTGTGTCTCTTTACCCCTTAACTCTAAAACTTTGGATTGTTTGAATGTGAAACTCAGGGTGAAACTCAGCCAAAGCCACTGAGTTTCACGCAGGTTCCACATGAAAGAAGTATTCTACCCAGCCCTGCTCGAAACTTGGCCCATGTTTTGCCAAAAGTTTCGTAAATGTCAGCGAGCCTGGATTTGAAACATAATCCAAAGCCAGGTGACTTTCAAGCGACTTTGAGGCTTAACTGTATAAGTATAGAATCTGTCAAACAAGGACGTCTCTTATTTTCCTATCTTCGAGGTAATTTCATGTGTACACACAATTTTCCCCAATAAACTCCCACTTGTTCTGTGATGTTTGAAAGCCAGGTTCAATCTTACTACGAATTTTTATAGCTGTGGTATTTAAGCACTGGCAACTACAAGCCTGCATTTTCAATTTCTGCACAGTCTGAACCACAGTGGTGTGAACACGTTGGTATAATTCAGCTGAAGGAAGTCCCAGGAGAGCCGCGGAATGTCTTTCTTTGCTTAAATATACCTCTGTGCTCGTGAGGGACAAACAGTAACATTTTGTCCTGGTCTATCCGCTCGACAGTATGCTTTTTGTTCGCTCTCCAAAGGTGGTGTCAAATATATTGGTGGAAAAAAATAATAAACTTCCCGATTTTTTTTTGCCTGCTCAAGTGATATACTCCTAGGGAACATTGTAAGCATTGAAAGATTCAGTGCTATTACTTGTAACATATACCGAGAATAAAGGAGTACTCAGCGGAGTCGAGCTCCTTCAGAAAAGCTCAGTGACTTAGAGCTGACATGCTCATGCTAATGGTCAGACGGGGCAGGGTGATTACGGCGGCAGGGGGGTTTAATGGGGGTAGGGGTGGGTAGAGAGGAAAGGGGATTTGTAAACTTTGCTCAGCAAATCTGCCACATATAAAACAAAAAGAATCAGGCCCAGGATCCGGAAACATTCCTTTCTTTTCTCGATCATCTAAATTTGTGTTGGCTGAATACTGCATTTTTTTTGGTATTATTTTTTGCATTGAGCGCACCAAAGATTACGTCCTGATCGTAGGATTCCAGAAATGGCAAGTTCCCTCCAGGGAAAACAGGCCCAGGTGGGAGACCTGCAGTTGTACACGAAGCTTCGAGAGCGAGTCTCAGAAAGTTCTGCGTGGTTCTAATGCCCACTGGAGACGCCGAGCTCAGGAAACTACAGTTTGATGTGTCACTGTATTGTTGGAGGGTTTCTGACCCCATTTGAAGGATTTTCATACAAATGAACTTGTGACCTCACTCAAGACGCTGTTTAGTGAGATTTACAGTTACGGCCTGTAAAACTAAATTGTCATCAAATTTCCTTTTGAAAAGTGTGTAGTCCTGTGCTTGTTTAACGAAACGGGCCTTTTACGAAAGACACAGTTTGCATTTCAGCAGGTGACTTGCACAATGACTGTCACGGGCCCCACACTGAGTAAGGCGTTCGAAGACCTAACGAGGACAGAACTCGCGGGTCCTGTGTCCATGGAGCAGCTGCACTTCGGCACCGACTCACCGGTGCAGGGTCCGCAGGGTAGCACTGATGGACCTTCTGTCTGCAGCCCGCGATGCCGCCGTGTGCTGTCTAAAGTCAGTCTTTCTTGCTTCTTCAAATTAACAGGCGACGAGTTGCCCTTGCCTGCTCCCCTGTCCATCATTTGGAAACAAATTCAATTAAATGGGATCAAACCTGTTTTTTATTGTTAATGTCGCTAGGAGATTCAAAGTCTTAGATGGGGTCCTCCAAAGTCTTAGATGAAGTCCTAAAGGGCAGAAATCTGTTGTTTCTCCCTTAAACCAATGTGAGGGTACCCTGCATTGTTTAAAACGCCAGCGATGAAGGCCATTCAGTGAACATGGGATTCTGTCACCAAGCACCTACTGTGTGCCGAGAACTGTGCCACGGTCGGGCGAACAGCCTGGTGGGACAGCCAGGAGACAGCAGATGCCGTCGGACCACAGAGCTGGGGTTGGAGGCAGGCATCTCCAGTGCTTGAAAGATGTTCTCCCAGAGGGAAAAACTGTATTTGAATTGGGACTTCGGGTCAGATAAGAGGCCATTCAAATGGAAGAGGGTGACGTGGTAAAGGCTCAGAAGAGAGACAACCCCGTCCTCAGAGAATATCCAGACTACTGGTAGAGCGAGAACTTGGGTCTGATGGGCGTGTCCCTGGAAAGGTGTATATTGGGTTGGCATTCACTGATTGAGAAGAAAATCCTCACAATTAGTTCCATATGTTAGTGTTATTGCTGATCGGCGTTCAAAGTGATGGGAGAGGTGAAACCCTGGACAGCCCCTGCTCAGGAGATGTCGCTGGGAAGGAGGGGACAAAGGCGAGAACAGTGGACATGGGAGGAGATCAGCGGAACGGGAGACATCAGGACCATTTAGAACTACCCTCCCGCTGGACTTTGTCCTGGGCACTAAGACCCTACCTGCACCCGTAATTTTATTTAATATTCGGTATTATCAGAGATAAGCTGTATTTTTATTGCTTCATCGAATGCATAGCTATGTCATATTCAATAAGTACTCTGTCCTAACCATCAGTAGTAACGTAGGGCAATGTAGGGCGGTGTTACTGTTAATATGGGGCTGGTCACACAGGCTCACGCGCCCAGGGTACAGGTGCGGACGCTGACACCCTAAGCAGTTGCTGCGTCATCTGCAGCAGTTGCTGCGTCATCTGCTCTGTATCCCGAGTAAAGGGCAAATGCTGGATTGACTCTCGTGTCGGGATGTTGCAAAGTACACCATGCCACCCAGTTCTAAAATACAAATACGTAGAATGGGTTAGAGATAATAGCCAAAGAACGCCTACTGAGAAAACTATTGGCCCAAACAATGCAGGAGATATTTTCTAATCATAGCAAGTTTGGATTTTCTAAAATTCATTCAGAGAAAACCATAAGCACAAGGGAGAGGGGGATTACAGAGAAAGGCGTGAATGTGCCAACGGTATTTATGAA